AAGAGGTACCAGGCATCTGTAAAAACGGCAAAACATGGGAGGCAACCTCACTTTACAACGATCTGCTCTCACAGAAACCATTCCACAAGAACTAACCCAGTCTTGCAAGAAAGACACTAATCCATCTTAACAACATAATCACCTCTTAAAGGCACCATTTCCCAACACCACCACATTGGGAAACAGTCTCAACATGGGTTTTGGTGGGGACAACCTATATTCAAATCACGGAAGTTTGTACATGAGAAGTGAAAAGTGTGGCCTTCAAAACCAAGATAAATACAAAATCCCACCACTAAAAGAAAGAGGCTGTTCACTTCCAGCCTGTTCTTTACTCTTTCAAAGGCTACACAAGATGTTTACTATTTAGGGTAGAATTGTTTAAAAATTATAACTGTGCATTCCTAGTTGTTATGAGAAGGCCAACAACAACAAAGGTAGGATAATCCTTGCCCTTTCCAGGCCATCTATTACAATTGGGAAGAAAGTAACAGTAAAGTACAAACACCAAATTTAGAGTACAGACTGAAAGCACTGACTCAAAGGAAGAAGAAATCACATCTAATTGTAGTATAAGTTGAGCATCCTGAATCCAAAACTCTGAAATCTGAAACGCTCCAATGAGCATTTTCTTTGAGTACCATGTTGGTGCTCCAAATATTTCAGATTTTAGATTTTTGGATTTAGGATACTAAACTGAAAAGTAGTGTAAATATTCCAAAATCCAAAACACTCCTGGTCCTAAGCATTTCAGACAAGAGATGCTCAATCCTTACTATTTATTTCTATTAAAAAAGAAAGTAGAACCTCAGTCTTCAAGGATGCATATAGTTAGGCATATCTGATGGAAGAAAAGACACGATTTTCTTTGAGGGAGCTGATTAAATATAGTGTAAAACAAACTTTCTCAGGGGTTCCTCATCTGAACCACTGATGACTGCAAATGATGTGATTATATTCTCAATTCTGCCAAGGATGATATATAATTAGTACCATTCAAGAAGCACAGGACAGAAATTGGAGATAATTCATTACATTCAATGGATAGCTTGGAGCCACAGTTCTCAAATTAACGCGACTCAGGAACTTGGAGGGCTTGGCTTGTTCAAACAGACTGCTAGGCCCCAGCCTAGAGACTGATTCTTTCGGCAAACCCAAGAATGTTTTAGGGCACTAAGAATTAATTCTGGTTAAGAAAGGCTGATATAAAGTATATCTTTATTCGAAAATCATGTATGTTCTTTAAAGTAAATACTGAAAACAGAGACCAGCATCTTTACTTCATCTATTCAAGACATTATGTTGATCTGTTTCACTGCAGTCTTATCTTTTGAAATAAATATTCTTGGTTATTACATATGAAGAATATATACAAACACTGTACCAACCTATACAAGCCCTAGTACTAAAGAACATGGCCAGTGCATGCAGATGTGGTGTGCTAGAACAATGATTCTCAGGCTTCTGTAAAAAGATGGAAGTTCTGCCCACTTATAGCACCAAAGGGCAGTTTACCAATCCTTTCATATTAGAAGGAGTCTTGAGGTGGAACTTTAAGTGATCTCTTGCTCAACTAGACAAAATATTTATTGAAATACTCTCAATAATATGTCAGCAATATATTTACCATTACTGATAAGATTTTTTATATTTATACTAAATAACAACTTAGTTGAGTAGAAAACTCTTGGGTCCTAACTACTTGAGTTCACAACTTCTCAACCCATTGACTTCTGCCACATTGTGTAACAGAGAAATCTGAAGAAATCTGTATATAACCTATATTCACTAATTATCCCCATTTACCTTGATTCCTTGGCCTGACTCAACTCATAGTTAGCTTTTTCTTCTTAAGGCTTGTAATTTTAAAAACTTAACCTGAACTTTTACCTAGGTGTGGGTCCCCTTCCACTGATCTTATCTGAAATTTTCTGTTTCCCTTAATTATACATATCTGAAGTTGGGAGTTTTTGTTTTTACTTAAAGTCTTCTTTCAGCCGGGCGCGGTGGCTCAAGCCTGTAATCCCAGCACTTTGGGAGGCCAAGGCGGGTGGATCACGAGGTCAAGAGATCGAGACCATCCTGGTCAACATGGTGAAACCCCGTCTCTACTAAAAATACAAAAAATTAGCTGGGCATGGTGGCGCATGCCTGTAATCCCAACTACTCAGGAGGCTGAGGCAGGAGAATTGCCTGAACCCAGGAGGCGGAGGTTGCGGTGAGCCGAGATCGCGCCATTGCACTCCAGCCTGGGTAACATGAGTGAAACTCCGTCTAAAAAAAAAAAAAAAAGTCTTCTTTCATTATATCTGACCATCATTTCTGTTCCAAGTGTCTGAGAAAGTAAATCCATTTTTACGGAGTTTATTTAACTGTTTCCCTTTTTCAACTTGTAGCCCTTTCATCTGAGTTTGTTCTCTCCTTATGGGATTTCTTTCCTTCGTTGGGTTCCCAGTAACTTTCATAGTCATTACCTCAAAACATTCATTTTCATCACTTTATAGTTTTTTAATGCTTTGTGAGTTTCACAAGTTTGTTCTTCACAGATACTTCGCTATCCATAACATTAAATTCACCTCTTTCTAGTCTATTGTCTTTAAAAATGGAATGTCAGTTTTGCTACCATATATTAGTTCCCAGTCATCCTCCCTGTTATCTGCTTCCCTTTTCAACTTGTAGCCCTTTCATCTGCGTTTGCTCTCTCCTTATGGGATTTCTTTCCTGATTTAATGGAGCCACATTTATTTTTACGTGCTGTACAGCATGCCCACTGTTTTTGTCTTCATTTTTTCCCGGTTCCTTTCACATTGACAGGGCAACTCTTCCTTCAGTGCTTCAGATTCTCTCCCTTCTTCTTATTCTGCAGTATTTTTTTCGGAGAGCTTTCATTTTCCCCATGTTAAAGCACAACCAACCTAGGCTCAGTTTCTGCCAAACAGAGAGGTACAGATCGCCCTTGCTAAAAGAATCCCTTCCCAAAATGATGTGCAAGATCTAAGCAATTCCCAGTGCTTATATTGAGTGATTCTTAGAACAAAGGGGGGACTTCCTGTATTCCAAATAACTAAACTCCCTAAAACATTGAACAGGTGGAATTTTTGAAATTCTACCCTTTGGCCTTATGCTACCTACCTACCTGGGCCCTACCTACCTATGTCCTACCTATTGTCGCGGCTCAGGACATGCTACCCCAAACTACAGCCACTTGAAGGCCATTGTGACTTTCCCTCTCCTTTCTGTAGGACAACTAGCGGTAAAGAAATTCTCTAAGCTACATCTTCTGAAAGTATGTCTTTTTTTGAGACAGAGTTTCACTCTGTTGTCCAAGCTCGAGTGCAGTGGCATGATCTCAGCTCGCTACAACCTCCCCATTCCAGGTTCAAGCAATTCTTGTGCCTCAGCCTCCCGAGTAGCTGGGACTACCGGTGGGCACCACCACACCCAGCTAATTTTTGTATTTTTAGTAGAAATGGGGTTTTGCCATGTTGCCCAGGCTGGTCTCAAACTCCTGTCCTCAAGCGATTCACCCACCTCAGTCTTCCAAAGTGCTAGGATGACAGGCATGAACCATCACACCCGGCCTTGAAGTCATTAAACCCTCATGTGACAAGGGTCCCACCCTATGCCTGGAGGAAAGGAATGTTACACAGAGAGGCCAAGAAGAATCTCAACAAACAAGCCTAAGTTCCCCCATTTGTTACTATTGGATAATATCCTTTTTGTCCAATCATATTTCTATATGACTGACTGTCCACTGTTCACTGAACTTACACACAAAAATACAGTTTTTCCCAGATCTGTGGGACTTCGGGTCTGCATTTCTGAGGGCTCCTATGTAATGCAAAACTTTGATTAAATAAATTTGTTAAGCTTCTCTATTGTTAATCTGTTTTTTGTTATATGGGTAATGGTCATGACCTCTGCAATTGGTGAGGAAAAGACATTAGTTCTTCTCTCCTCCACTACCTTTTCTAGGCTCAGTTCAGTTCACCATCTTCTCCATGCAGCCCTTTCCTGCCATGAAGACCCATTCTGACCCCTCACCTCTTTAAAGGCTAATCTTTGTCAGTGCCATACAATGTACCACTTGTTTTGTAATTATTTCTCTAACTCCAGGTCAGGTTAATCAATGTCAGTTACACTTTAGACTTCTGTGTAAAGAATATTTGTCAACTGGCAGAAATGCAGTTACAGAGAACTTCATAAAGAATCCAAACACTTCCACTAAGGTTTAATTTTGCACAACAGGTACAATTTAGGCAACCAAATATCTAATACTGAGTTTAAAAAAAAAAAAAAAAAAACTCAACATTCCAGTTTCTCATCTGAAGCTCTTGGAAACAATCAGTTTATTTGTAAGTAGAAAAAAGGCTCTATATATTAAAAGATAAAAACATAATAAGTTTCCATTGCTTAAAAAAAACTTGCTAATTAAAAAAGTTAAAATAGCATGTAACATACATGTTATATTTATAGAAAGAGAGTTTTTGTTTTGTTTTGTTTTGAGTCAGTATCACTCCATCACCCAGGCTGGAGTACAGTGATGTGATCTCAGCTCACTGCAAGCTCCACCTCCTGGGTTCCAACAATTCTTGTGTGTCAGCCTCCAGAGTAGCTGGGATTATGGGTGTGTGCCACCATGCTAATTTTTGTATTTTTAGTACAGACAGGGTTTCGCCATAGAGGCCACACTGGTCTCGAACTCCTGACCTCAAGTGATTTGTCTGCCTCAGCCTCTCAAAGTGCTGAGATTATAGGCACAAGGCACCATGCCTGGCCATATAACATAATTAAGAACATAAAATATTCTTTTGGGTTGGGACAGTCTAAAAGTACTATAAGCAAATATTATATACCAAATCTGTCAGGATCCAAAATCCACACAATTTTGTTTCAATGAGATCTATTATATTACATTCATCACCTCATTTCTGCTTATTATTAACTTATTTTTAATACAACTCACTCATATTAATGATCAGAGTAAAAAGTCTACTTACCCCACCCATTGTAATTCCATGAAGAAGTGCAACATAAGGTTTCTGGCAAGAAGCTGAAAGAAAGAGAGCTGCAATTTTAGTTATAGTGTTTAAAATACTTCCCTTTTTCTAAAATATCACATTATATATACTATAAAGATTTTCTCTAGGAAATTTTAGCAAGAAACACCAAAGAAAACTAAATGGCTTGTAAAATACATATTTTTAAATGTCAATCCAACACAATCCTGATTATCTATTCATTATCATTTAACAACATAACCTTCCATTTTAAACAAAAGCCAGGGCCCAGTGTGGTGGCTCACACCTGTAATCTCAGCTCTTTGGGAGGCCAAGGTAGAAGGATTGCTCAAGGCCAGGAGTATGAGACCACCCTGGACAATAAAGCAACATCTCGTCTCTTTTAAAAAAAAAAAAAAAAAAAAAGCCAGGTGTTGTGGCAGGCATCTGTAGCCCCAGCTGCTCAGGAGGCTGAGGTGGGAAGAACACTTTATCACTTAAGCATTGGAGGTTGAGGATGCAGTGAGCTGCAATCATGCCACTGAACTCCAGCCTGGGCAACAGAGCAAGACCCTATCTTTCAAAAATAAAAAAGGATTTCTGCCAAGATGGCCAAATAGGAACAGCTCCAGAGCACAGTTCCCAGCGAGAACAACACAGAAGGCAAGCGATCTCTGTATTGCCAACCAAGGTACCAGGTTCATTTCAATGGGACTGGCTGGACAGTGGGTATAGCCCAAGTAGGGCAGAACGAGGCAGGGCAGGGCGCTGTCCCATCTGGGAAGTGAAACACTGGACAGAGGATCAGGGACCCTTCCCCTCTGGTACTCCAGTTCAGATATTGCGATTCTCCCATGGCCTTTGCAACCCACAGGCAAGGAGATCCCAGCCGGACTGAAAAGCACTGCAAGTTACTAGCACAGATCTGAGCGGCAGCTGCAGCCAGCACTGCAGGTCATTGGCACAGATCTGGGCAGATGTTTTGACTAGCACTGAGAGCAACTGCCGGATGGAACTTCCTACTCCCCAGAAAAAGGGGGAGCTGAAAGCAGGGAGACACGTGATATGGCTTGGTGGGTCCCACTCCAATAAAGACCAGTAAACTAAAGCCCTCTCACTTGAGAGTTTCACAGCCAGTACATCAATTCAACCTTGACCTGGGATGATCAAGCTCGACTGGGGAAAGGCATCCGCCATAGCTGATCTTACCTGTGTAAACAAAAGCCAGAGGAAACTTACACAGCAGCTGGACTGAGCCCGTGGCAGCCCAGCAGCGCCCCTGCAAGCAGACAAGGGACAGACTGCCTCCTCAAATGACTCCTTGACCCCTGCATAACCAAAAAGATGACACATACAGGAGAGCTCTGGCTGATGACTGGTGGGTACACTTCTGGGATAAAGCTACCAGAAGAAAGATTAGGCAGCAACACTTGCTGTTCTGCAGCCCCCGGGGGTGATTCCCAGGCAAGCAAGGTCTGGAGTGGACCTCCAGCAGTCCTACAGCAGAGGGGCCTATTGGAAGGAAAACCAAAAAAACAAAAAGAAATAGCTTCAACATCAACAGAAAGGACATCCACTCAGAGACCCCATCTGAAAGTCAGCAACTTCAAAGATCAAGGGTAGACAAATCCACGAAGATGGGAAGAAACCAGCACAAAAAGGATGAAATCATCAAAGACCAGAATGTCTCTCCTCCAAGGGATCACAATTCCTCACCAGCAAGGGAACAAAACAGGATGGAGACTGAGTTTAAAGAACTGACAGAAGCAGGCTTCAGAAGGTAGATAATAACAAACTTCTCTGAGCTAAAGGAACATGTTCTAATCCAATGCAAAGAAACTAAAAATCTTGAAAAAAGATTAAACAAAATGCTACCTAGAATAACCAGCACAGAGAAAAACAAATGACTTGATGGAACTGAAAAACACAGCATGAGAACTTCACAAAGCATACACAAGTTTCAATAGCTGAATTGATCAAGCAGAAGAAAGGATATCAGAGATTGAATATCAACTCAATGAAATAAAACGAGAAGGCAAGATTAGAGAAAAAAAAGTGAAAAGAAATGAACAAAGCCACAAAGAAATATGGGATTATGTGGAAAGACCTAATCTATGCTTGATCAGTATACCTGAATGTGATGGGGAGAATGAATCCAAGCTAAAAAACACTCTTCAGGATATTATCCAGGAAAACTTCTCCAGCCTAACAAGGCAGGCAAACATTCAAATCCAAAAAATACAGAGACCACCACAAAGATATTCCTCAAGAAGAGCAACCCCAAGGCACATAATCGTCAGATTCACCAGGGTTGAAATGAAGGAAAAAATGCTAAGGGCAGCCAGAGAGAAAGGTCCGGTTACCCACAAAGGGAAGCCCATCAGACTCACAGCAGATCTCTCAGCAGAAACCCTACAAACCAGAAGAGAGTGGGGGCCAATATTCAACATCCTTAAAGAAAAGAACTTTCAACCCAGAATTTCTTATCCAGCAAAACTAAGATTCGTAAGCGAAGGAGAAATCAAATCCTTAAAGAATAAGCAATTGCTGAGAGATTTCATCACCACCTGGCCTGTCTTACAAGAGCTCCTGAAAGAAGCACTAAACATAGAAAAGAACAACCAGTACCAGCCACTACAAAAACATACCAAATGGTAAAGAGCATCGACACAATGAAGAAACTGCATCAACTAATATTAAAGTTGATTAAACTATTTTGACTGAAATAAGCACTCAAAATAGTTTAATCATCTTTATTTATGCCTGGCACATGGTATTAAAAGTTTAAGTAAGAATGTCTATTGAATACATTTTTGACAAAGTATACTGTCCACCTCATTTTTTGATTCCATTTCCAAAGCTCTGAGCAGCACACACATACCAATAGCATTGTTCAGCATATATTCTTCTCTGAAGAAAACTGGAGCTAACTCCTGGTTTGCATTTTTAGCTTCCGAGATCACTAGAAAGGAAAGATTACAAATCAAAAAAATGATTTAATAGCCAGCACCATCAACTAGATTAAAAGTATTATGATAATTAAATACTGGGGGAAAGGGAGCACTCTAAAATGACTTGTTAAAATTTTGAAGTTGCCCCTGCCATAGACATATTGCAGTAACACATCCATAGTCCAAAGTCAAAGCTTCAAGGCAAGAATTCCTATTCTTGTTTTCCATTGCTTCTTACAAAATGTTAGATTAGAAATTATAGGCTGGGCATGGTGGCTCAAGTCCTATAATCCCAGCACTTTGAGAAACCAGGTGGGAGGATTGCTTGAGGCCAGAAGTCTGAAACCAACCTGTACAACATGGTGAGACCCTGTCTCTACAAAAAATTTTTAATTAGCTGGTATGGTGCCACGTGCCTGTAGTCCCAGTTGCTCAGGAGGCTGAGGTGGAAGGATCACTTGAGTCCAGGATACCGAGGCTACAGTGAGCCATGAATCACACCATTATACTCTGGCCTGGACAGAGGAGTGAACCTTCTCTTTAAAAAATAATAATATAATTGCAACAAACTGCATTTTTTTTTGATTATTTTCCCTAGCACCTAAATTAACATTTGTTAGACATACATTTCCTTTGGTAATATATCTTAATACAAAATGTATTATATATGTGTGTATAGTACCACAATGTGTTGCATGTCCTTAAATATTTCTGCCACATTCATTTCCCCCATAAACATTTTTTGAGCATATATTAAGTACCAAGTACTGTTTTAGGTATTGCAAATAATGAGACAGCAATATAAGATGGCTGTCCTGGAGTTCAGACTGATAAGAAAGAGACTACTAAAACACATTCTTTGTCCTATACGGATGGGGTGCTGTGGTAATGGGAGTAGGAGATGTGTAATTAATTCAAAGTAGGCTTCCTATAAGAGGTAACCCTAAGCCAAATCTGAAAAGGTAAACCCTAAGCCAAGTTTGAAGAGGTAGATAAGAATTTCCTAGAAAATAACAGGAAGAAAAATTATGAGTAGGGGAAGCAGTACCCTACAAAGGCTCAGTGTCAAGAAAGGAGTAAAATCAAGAATGAAACAGTTTTAAAAGACAAAAGGACAAAGGTGATGCTAGACAGGCAAACAACATACTGACATTTTTATTAATATCAATAGAAATGTAACTTCTCAAAGACATTGCTACAGCATACTACTGCCTGGCTTAGAAAACAAATGCCCAGTAAACATCTACTGAATAGTGAACACTATCAAATGGTTTCACTTCTATTGCAATCTTCTTTAACCCAGAGTTCACATCTCCTACCATATTTTTCCTCCAATCAATTTGAAGACTGTTATCAAAGTTTTCTCTTTTATATACTAAAAGCTCATATGCCTTTCCTGTCTTTAAGTCCTATGAATATTATGTATTAAAACACAAACTAAACATTTCATAGAAAAGTTTCCTCTTTTTTGGGAAAGTATTACATACAAAATGTCTACAAATTTTTACACTAACTCTAGAATTCTCTTTTTTGTTTGCTTTGAGATAGAATCTCACTCTGTTGCCCAGGCTAGAACAGAGTGGCACATTCTTGGCTCACTACAACCCTCATCTCCCGGGTTCAAGTTATTCTCCTGCCTCAGCCTCCCATGTAGTTGGGGGTACAGGTGTGCACCAACACGCCCAGCTAATTTTTGTATTTTTACTAGAGACAGGGTTTCACCATGTTGGCCAGCCTGGTCTCCCAACCTCAGATGATCTGCCTGCCTGGGCCTCGTACTCTGGAATTCTGACATCTCTTCCTTCAAAATGTTCCATATGTTGACTTCTTTTCCTGGTTTTTAAAAGAAAAATCTGACATCTACTTTTGTCATTCTGAGGTTTCACTGATATATACCTAAACAAATAAAAAAGACTGTTGGTCTTTGCCTACTGTCCTTTATTCAGATCTTATCACTGCTTACCAATTATAAAAGGAAAGGAATATAAGTTTTATTGCCTTTGGAATGAAGCTCTTTTATCTCAAAAACCTTCTCAAATTTCCTTCTAATTTTTTCTGATACAATTTTTATTCTAACCAATTAGTTCCATATAAATTAAATGTTCTTCGTAATCAATTTTTGAAAATTTTCTGAGTGTCCACTTATTGTCTTGAACTATGATCTTTTAAGAACTAAAGTTCCCAGACTTGAATCCATTGCTTTATATGTGCAAACTACAATAATTCTAGAATAAAATGTCAATATAAAATTAGGCCTATATACAGAAATAGCTCAGCCAGAAGAAGCTAATAAACTCAATACATAAAGCTCTGCCTATCTGTAAACTGACAAGATCACAGGCCACAAGAAAGGCTAATTTAAGGCCGAAAAGCGGTATTTTAAAAATATGCATGCTGTTGGGAGGCCGAGGCGGGCAGATCGCCTGAGGTCAGGAGTTTGAGACCAGCCTGGCCAACATGGTGAAACCCTGTCTCTACTAAAAATACAAAAATTAGCTGGGCATGCGGGTGGGCACCTGTAATCCCAGCTACTCAGGAAGCTGAGGCTGGAGAATTGTTTGAACCCGGGAGGTAGATGCTGCAGTGAGCCGAGACTACGCCATTGCACTCTAGCCTAGGCAACAAGATCAAGGCTCTGTCTCAAAAAAGAAAAAAAAAAAAAAAAATCCATGTCATAAGCAAAACAATAGATTCAAAAACAAGTCAGTTAACAGATCAGTTTAAGCAATCAAAAGTTTCCATTAAACTGCAATTTTAAAATTCAGCTAAATTTAATAAGCATTTGAAATTATGTCCTGAATCCAGCTTTTTCCTATTCCTAATGTAATGGTTTACATAAACATAAGTTTGGTGAACAAGCCCAAAGATTGTTAATACAATATAAACAAACAAATATATAAAATTTAAACACAAGGAAACAAACCATACCTGAACCCTACCAATTCCATAAGAAACAAAATACAAATGTAAAGTTTCAGTATATTGTATATAAAATATGGACAATTATAGTGGTTATGATATACACGTGACACGGATCCTGAGAACAAACGTTTCTTCTAACATTTAAAAATGTGTATAGACAGACTGACCTGAACAATTATGAAAAATAAGGAGAGCTTCTCTTATTTATTTCAGCATGTTTAAAAACATGTAAAAATATATTTACAATGTAACAGGATAAATAATTACATAGAAGACGCTTGCTTAGGGATCATGAATAGTGGGAAGCATAGAAAAAGTTATGGAAACATGTGAGAGCATGTCATATTTGGAGAATGGCAAGCCCCTCAACATGGCCAGATTGTCAGGTTTGATGACTAGCAGAACTGCTTAATATAAGCTCTTCTAAAATATAAAGTGGACCCATATACCATAACTGGACATTTTGTTTGGGATGATTCAGAGAGAGACAACATATTTAAATTTCAAAAGGGTATCTGTGTAGTGAGAAAAAAATAATCAGCCACACTCATTTGCTAATACTAACCATAAAAGTCTTAAAATTCATTTTTTCTAAGAATGTATTAACTTTATAACAAAAAATTCTAAAAAGTAAAGCAAATTACAAATTATTACAAAAATTTAACAATACTTGATCAGTTCTAGTGGGGCAAAAGAGCATTCAGGTGAAACAGAAAAATTTTTACCTCTGATATCACCCCCAGCACAGAAAGCCTTTTCTCCAGCTCCCTTTATAATAATCAGGAAAGTTTCAGGATCTTGTTCCCACTTCTATTCAAATGTAAAAAAAAAAAAAAAAGATGGTATAAGCACATTATGAACACAAACTCATTAAAGTTATATGCATATGCACATATATACATACAATCATATATTCATATACACGTGTGGCAGTACATATTCTTCTATAAGGTATCCAGAAGAACGAATCTCATCCCATTCTTCATTGAATGAACTTCATTTGCTTTTCTCGGATAAAGTAGAGGCTACTTCAAAAAGGCTGCTAGATGAATACACTGTGTGATCCAAATTTCAAGACAGCACCTGAAATCTTTGCCGTAACTTTGATAGCAAGATGAACAAATATGGGCTTAATAATAGTAAGTTACATAAACATAAATTTGGAGAACAAATCAACCCCAAGACTGTTGATAAATAGAGCAATAAGCTTTCTACTGTGCTGATACAGGGCTCTCTGTCCTCACAAATGAAACTACTTATGATATTGATTAAAATATGCAACTGATTTTGGTTTGGTAAAGACAGGTAATAAATAGAATGAAAGAATCAAGAGCCAATGAAAATGTGAAAGTCTAGAACAATGGACAAAAAGAAAATTAGTTAAGAAAACTTAACAGGTGTTCTATCAATCTATAGATCTAAGGTTGAGTATCCCTTACAGGAAATGCTTGGGACCAAAAGTGTTTCAGATTATTTTAGATTTTAGAATATTTGCATACACATTATGAGATATCTTGGGGATTGGACCCAAGTCTAAACACAAAATTCCTTTATGTTTCATATATACCTTATACATATAGCCTGAAAGTAATTAATTTTCCCTTAGGGATGCTGAACAAACATTTTGTTGTGCTCTTGTATTTGACTGCGAGTCATCAAGAGGGAGGTGTGGAATTTTCCACTTGTGGAGTCATGTCGATGCTTAAAGAGTTTTTTAATTTTGTAGTGTTTTGAATAAGGATGTTCAACCCCTACTAGAGAATAAATATGTAACGCACAAGGAAGATGTAGCTGAACAGATGTGATTGTCCAAAAGGTTCATGCAATATTGAACTACATTAATTACATTAATAGAGAAGTTTTCTAACATGAACATTTCTAATTTCTTCCACTCTGGTCCAACTCTAATTGCAACAGTTGGCTTATTTCTATATATCACATTTTTGACATATTATAAAGGTATCTCAAACAGAAACACAAGAATGGAAGACAGATTCATCAAATGAGAATTAAGGAATTGGTAGCCAGGGGAAAACTAGTATTTGTTCAACATCTACATAGCAGAATGTATTAGGTACTTATATAGACTTAATGTTTACATATCATCATCCCCATTTCAGAGCTGAGGAGAGTGAGGTACAGAGCTTAACTTTCTCAGCTTACACAGTTAATAACACAGTTAATAAATAGAAATCCAAGTTTCAAACCAGACAGTCTGACTTTAAGTCCTGTTTTTCTACTATCCCATGCTGTTCACATAGAAAAGTTTATGGCCTTCTCTGAGAAAAAGCAGAACAAGCAGTTTAAAAGCAGCTGTCTTCAAATGAAAAGACCATCATGTGGAAGCAAATTAGATTTGTACTCATGCCCTCAGAGGCAGAGCCAGTATCACTGGTTTAAAGGTCAGAGAAACACAGAGTGCCAAAACACGCAAACAAATCAATGCTACATAAAAGTCAAAGATTCTGTTTCAGGAGGCATCGAACTCCTCATCACCAGGGATGCTCAAGAATAACCTCACAGGTGAAGCACTGAAGCCTCAAGAATCAATGGGGCTTAGCTAAACACACATCCCAGGGAAACATGTGATTCTATGAGAGAAAATACCAGAAATGTCCTATCATGATATTCTTCTAAAAAAAAAAATCCATATAATTGCTATAAGAAAATTACAAACCTTTAGCTGTGGATAAATCTGCTGAATCATACTAAGATTCAATGTATTTAGCAGCTTTGGTCTGTTTAGTGTTATGACTCCTGCACAACCTTTTTTTTCCAATAGTACCTCTTCTGTGGCATCTGTGTGCTTGGACATTATCTGTATAAACAAAGAATAACTTTATGACAAAATTTCTTAAGTTTTTATCACAAACCAACATCAAAACATACATATCAAATGCAAATCTTACATATTAATGATAACCAAAGGAATGAGTAACTAGGTACTTCTGACAAGTTTCTAAAGTTATTCAGATTACATAGATGAGCAATTCCAAAGCAAATCATGTAATTCCAAAGCTCAACTTTAGAAACTTGTCTAAAGTTTCTAAAGTTATTTAGATTACATAGATAAACAATTCCAAAGCGCACACCTCCTAAATTTTTAAATTTTTATTTCAGAGCTAATTGAATAAGCTGACTTATCATAGAGCCCAGTCTGGAATTTCTTGGACACTGAAATACTCTGAAATCTTTTAATTTACTACTGTATATCAAACTCTATGTTACATGCTAAGAAAGCAAAGAAGAAGAAAGGGCAAATAATTCTGACTATTGTAGCTATGGTCAACTTGAAAATAAAGGTGATATTTGAGTTGGGGCTTGATGCATCCCAAGAAAAAGGCGAGGCGAGAATTCCAGGCAGAGGAAACGGCACATGCTAAGCCATAAGCAATGACTATTTGAAAATGTTAAGATGTTAAAACATTTGTGGAACAAACACTGCGTTGAGGAAATGAGTGATGAGACGATAGGCAGAGTAAGTAGTTTGCAGCCAGATTATGACAGACTTAATAATTGTGAAGAAGTTGCCTGCACACTGACTTAAGGCCTTACACAATATAACTTAATCACCAGGTCTCACTACCCATGTATTTTGCAGTATTAATAAAACACCTGTGAGGAACACAGTTTTAACTATACAGTGGTTTCCCAGGACTCTGCTATATCCAACCATTAGGACTCTTGACACCACCATTCTTTTCTAAGTACTGGGATACATGTGCTGAATGTGCAGGTTTGTTACATAGGTATACATGTCCCATGGTGGTTTGCTATACCCATCAACCCATCATCTAGGTTTTAGGCCCTGCATGCATTCGGTATTTGTCCTAATGTTCTCCCTCCCCTATCCCCCACCCCCCAACAGGCCCCAATACATGATATTCCCCTCGCTGTGTCCATGTGTTTTCACTGTTCAAACTCCTACTTAACGGAGAGAACATGCAGTGTTTGGCTTTCTGTTCCTATGTTAGTTTGCTGAGAATGATGGCTTCCAGCTTCATCTATGTCCCTGCAAAGGACATGAACTCAGTCTTTTTTATGGCTGCATAGTATTCCATGGTGTATATGTGCCACATTTTCTTTATCCAGTCTATCATTGATGGGCATCCGGGTTGGTTCCAAGTCTTTGCTATTGTAAATAGTGTTGCAATAAACATACGTGTGCACGTGTATTTATAGAATGATTTATAATCCTTTGGGTATATACTCAGTAATGGGATTGCTGGGTCAAACGGTATTTCTGGTTCTAGATCCTTGAGGAATCACCACATTGTCTTCAACAATGGTTGAACTAATTTACACTCTAACCAACAGTGTAAGAGTGTTCCTATTTCTCCACAGCCTCACCAGCCTCTGTTGTTGCTTGATTTTTTAATAATCGCCATTCTAACTGGCAAGAGATGGTATCTCACTGAGGTTTTGATTTGCATTTCTCTAATGACCAGTGACAATGAGTTTTTTTCATGTTTGCTGGCCACATAAATGTCTTCTTTTGAGAAGTGTCTATTCATATCCCTCTTCTACTTGATTTTTTTTTCTTGTAAATCTGTTTAAGTTCCTTCTAGATTCTGGATATTAGCCCTTTGTCAGATGGGTAGATTGCAAAAATTTTCTCCCATTCTGTAGGTTGCCTGTTCACTCCGATGACAGTTTCTTTTGCTGTACAGAAGCTCTTTAGTTTGATTAGATCCTATATGTCAATTTTGGCTTTTGTTGCAATTGCTTTTGGTGTTTTAGTCATGAAGCCTTTGCCCACGCCCATGTCCTGAATGGTATTGCCTAGGTTTTCTTCTAGAGATTTTATGGTTTGGTGTTTTACATTTAAGTCTTTAATCCAACTTGAGGTAATTTTTGTATAAGGTGTAAGAAAGGGGTCCAGTTTCAGTTTTCTACATATGGCTAGCTAGTTTTCCCAGCATTACTTATTAAATAGGAGTCCTTTCTACATTGTTTGTTTTTGTCAGGTTTGTCAAAGATGGCACCACCATTCTTACTTGTTCCTTTAAGTAAAGACAACACTTAAAACCTTGCATGGGAATAGTGTGCAATGTAAAATCGAAAGGTGAAATTGGAAAATTTTAACTGGAGAAGGCCAATAAAAACTAAACAGCATACTTATTAGCAAAACAATCTAATGAAACCTAGAAATACATTTTTGACTGCATTAAGTAACATGTTTATATATTAAGTTCTTCATGAAGTCAAGTTGCATATTAAATATTGGAGTTAAGTTTTGTTAAAATTATCAGACAAAAATAAAAATCATTTATATTCACTTAAAGTTACAGGAACAGTTATTCAACAACAGACAAAGTTGTGTCTTTTCAATTTCATTTGAATTTCTCACTGAGATTCTCTAACGAGAAATTCAAATCAAAACTTTAGCAATAGTAATATATATTTGGTAATCACATTGACAATGACCAAAAAGTCTGATATACACACACACACACACACACACACACAAGCCTGATACATTCTTATGTTGAGTATAAGTAAACAAATGTACTGTGGAAGGATAAACTATTACAGAACCTCAGAAAAACAGTCTGACAACACTTTTTTTTTTACAGATAGATACGCATGGTTTTTATTTTTCTAAATGCTAGGAAATACTGTTTTTT